GACTGTGTTTGGGAGGGAGATTGCTACCCTATCCTGGGGTCTTTCTTGTAAATATACCATACATGGTTACCTTCCACCAGAATTTTGTCTTAGAGTATTAATGGGGAGTGATTTGTGGAACACAAAATCTAGAGGCAATTGAAAGTATGGAGGAGATGAAATACTTTCAATAGTCCTTTGAGTTTGTTTTTAAAGAAAACTTCTCTTCCCTGTGCATCCTATTCTAATGATTCTATCATTGCTGTAACCACATTTTATTATAATTAACTTTTTATGTATTTGCCTCTCCAATTAACTAGAAGCTCCGTGAAGGCAGAGACTGTCTCTTTGGTGACCCCAGCACACAGCCCAGAATCTGACACATAGTAGGTATTTAGTAAATGTTTCATGAATGAATAAATGAGTGAAAAAAAGCATTCACTGAATGACTCCTTGCCCAGGCTTTAGCCTCAATACTTCTCTACATAATATATGTAATATTTTTCTTATATCTGCTTATCTGTAGCTGTGGAATATTTCAAATGTTGTTTCAATCATGCGTGCTTTTATTTCTAACCATACTCTAAAAACTAAAGGCAAGGGCAGGGATGTGTCTTCCGTATCCTTCAACAAAGAGATGGGATGGAACTCTGAAAAACAGAGTTGATATTACCTAAATGCTGGTTGAATGAAAGATCATATTTTTTTGTTTGTTTCTTAAAGATCATATTTGGAATGATAAGCTCTAAGTCCCAGAAGATGCTGAGATCACAGAATCCCACTTCCTAATTCTTCAAAAAGACCAGGAGCATCCAGAAGACAGGGAGTGTCTTTTGTATTGTTGTATGTCCAGGACCCACTACATGGCCTGTCAGTAGTTTTCACTCAATAAATATTCAGTAGAAGGAAAGAAGGAAGGACGGGCGGATGGGAGGTGGGGGCCAGGAAGCAGGTAACTGAAGCTAGAGTTGTAAAATGATTTTGCCAAAACTTGCATCAGAACCCAGAACCCTTCTTTCCTAGACCAGCCCTGCTTCCAATATTGGTTCACGTTTTAAACGTTACTAGTGTTGTCAAAAATGCCATCTACTTTCCTCTTACCGATGGCAATTTAACTATGAGGGCAGTTGCTTTGCTTCACGGCAGCTGTCTCCTCCACGGACCTGAAATGCCAGTGCCCCAGCTGTCTTGATTGAGAGCCCTGGTTGCAAGAAAACAAGACAAAATGCTTTGCTGCCTTAATTCTAGTGGGAATTTAATTTAATTAGCATCTGATTTACACAGCGCACTTCTGACAGCTGTGTTTGTGGAGTATCCGTGGAAGCAAGAAATTACCATCCATTGAAATCATCATCAAAGCTTATTTATCTTCCTACTGCATCTTTCCAGCCTTCAGCTTTGGGGACTTGTGTGTGTTTATCGCACACTTTTACAGTAAATAATACTCTAGTAAGTGCGCGAGGATTTGCAGCGTGTTGAGTATAGGCTTGTTTCAGAGCCTTAATAGGATGAATCTGAAAATGAGGCTTTGGAGGTTTGATCAAAGGACAGGTGTTTTTTTAATGTTGAGTTCTAAGGATCATTAAGGATCTCAAAGGAGAGAATCTTACCACCTGGGCCAAAGGAGCAATCACAGCGCGGTATTCGGGGCTTGCGCAGTGCGCTCCGCTCATAGCTGCTTGGGAAGGACGTGGAGATCGTTGATGGGCTGCCCGCTGGAGCCTCCCCTCAAGCACCTGGAGCTGTCCTGCGGGGAACAAAGGGACTGGTTGCAGGATCTTACCCCTGCTTATATTCCACGGTGCCTGGTACACAATAAATAGTTGTTGAATGAGCGAGCAAATGAATGGGATCAGGTATAATGGAACTGGAGGCAGAGCTTTAAAAAAAGCTTTGAAAAATGATTAGCATGAGTTTACAAATCACTATAATACCGGCAGGGGACTTATTAGATAAAGGAGGTTCTAACCACATATGGAGAAGGGAGAGTACATGGCTAAATAAGGGCTCAGGGGAAGTTTCAAAGAAGAGGCGGTGATAGAACTGTCTTGAATCATACTAATATTTTATGGGAGACAAATGTTTTGATAACAAGAGAAGAGAGGTGGGAATCCCAAGAGAGAAAATTATATTAACAGAGTCGAAAAGGCATGAAATAAGATGTTTTTAAGGAGGAGGGAACTTGGCTCGTAGAGATAGGAAATGTAGGGTAAGTTAGGGCTAGAGCATGAATGACCTTGAAGAATTTCAAATTTTATTCTGTAACAACTGTGGGACCTTTGAAGATTTCTGAGAAGGGGAGTAACCTGATTAGATTCATGGTTTAGAAGAAAAATCTCTGGCTTCGTGGTAAAGAATAGACAAGCAGAGAGAAGGAGATCTTTCATGCCCTCATAAGTTAGAGAGGTTTTCAGTGTTTCTACCAGTGAAGCAACAATCAAGAAATAGGTCCATGAGTAAAGCCTGGGGGCATGGTTACTGACTTGGAAATGAGTTTCAGAGATAACACCAAGGATGAATTATCAGGATTTAGCAATGGATAGACTGACAGCTGAGAGTCAAGGCTTCCTGTTAAGTGCTGAAGTTTCCAGCTGGGCTGACAGTGAGAATGGTGTTGCCATTAGAAAGAGAAAAAAGTCTAAAGAAGATACTGGTAAATATGAAACACGTTTCCCACTTTAGCATGTTATTAATGTTCCTGACACAGGCCCATTTTCTTCATACCATTCCAGCTTGATACAATAAGACAAAGTGAGAGAGTGGCATGGACATATACACACTACCAAATGTAAAATAAATAGCTAGTGGGAAGCAGCCACATAGCACAGGGAGATCAGCTGGTGCTTTGTGACCATCTAGAGGGGTGGGAAAGGGAGGGGGGAAGGGAGACGCAAGAGGGAGGAGATATGGGGATCTATGTATACATACAGCTGATTCACTTTGTTATACAACAGAAACTAACAGAACATTGTAAAGCAATTATACTCCAGTGAAGATGTTAAAAAAAAAAGAATATTAGAATTAAAAGACACTTTACAGATTATCTAGTTTAGTGTTTCTCAAAGTAAGTTCCTCAGATTGCTACTGATTGAAATGCTCCATGCACATGTGATTTTATAAGCAAATACCTTGGGAAATATTGTATAGTATATCTGCCTTTTGGAGCTTCACAATGCACAGTAACATATTAAACACCTTGACAAGGTACCTTCTGCAGGAGAGAACTTTCCTTCATTTTCTTAAATTAAGTTTCTCAGACCTTTCTTAAATATAAAATTTATTAATATTCAGAAGAACGTTTTTTTTCCCCCAAACCTAACTTAGTCCAAACTCCTCACTTCATAGATTAGAAAACCAGGCCCAGAGATGTTAGGGAAGCATTGACTGAAACCGCCCACCTCGGCCAGGCCCAATGATAATCACTCACATGAGTTGTCTCACAACAAGAGGTCCCCATAAGGAACACAGTGCTGCCACTGAAAACTAACGGGGAGAATTAGGGAGGGGCCAAAAGGAGGGAGGAGACGCCAGCCCATAATATGTCCTTCCAACCTCCCAGAATCCTCGCTGGAATCCATCTTGGCTGAGAGATGCGCCTTGGCTGAGAGATGCATGCGCAACCAGGAAGAACCCTGAGTCAGACCAAATATGGGTTTCTAATTCATATGCAGGTGATTTGTGTATCTTTCCTAAACTAGAATCAGCCAGAGGGTTTAAGACTCCATATGTCAGGTGGCGCAGTGGTTGAGAGTCCGCCTGCCGATGCAGGGGACACGGG